CGGGATTTGAACCCGCGCATCAGAGAAAGCCTTTGCCGGAGGCTAATGCTCCCTTTGTCTATTTCAGCTTCCTTTTCGTCAGAAGTGCTACCGTGAGTGTTTGCAGCTGTTTTAGCTGCCGAGGTGTTAGCGGTTATGACATTTCTTAATGTAAAAATTGACTTAGATTTACTAGGGATATTGTTAGGTTTTACAGCTATCACAGACGTGGTTGGCTTAGAAGGGGAATGACTTTGCATTGCATTTCACCCAAATCAGGAGTAAGGTGAACTAGTGAAGCTTCGAATGAATTTGCCGTTGATCCAGATGGACGTAGGCTTACGTCGGCGGGAGGGGCAACCTCAGACACAACTTTTGCTATTGTTGATGTAGAGCTAGGGTCCTCAGCTGCTAATGCGGGTGCAAGCCGACGTTCCATTGGCGTTTTATCTCAACATATGAAAATTTTGTTTTGCTTTAAGTATAGAGCTGAGCGCTCATCCTGAGAGAAAATACTCTCTATTTCTAACGCCGAAAAAAATTTGACAAAGATCGGCGGGTTTTTAATCCGCGACGACAATCTTTTAGTTTCTGTGACTTTAAAGTTAAAGCCACAAGAGTAAAGAAGTTGAAAGGCGAAGTCCAGGGGTTGTTAACTTTTGGGAACAGGGTAATTACGACAGGAACACCTGTCATAAATGTGAAGCAGGCGACTGGGCGAGGATGGACCGACCAATTTGGTAGCCTTTACTGGTCGGGAGGAAAGCTTTCTAGACGAATGTGAGTTGTATTTACACGAAGATTGCAATGGTGGGCGCGAGAACCATAATTGTGATGGTACCAACAGAAACCATCAGTTGTAGTTTGGCCTGGAGTGAGAGACCTTGGGTGTCCAGTACTCGAAAGACTTCGTTTGTAGACGCGATTGGCTAAAAGCTGGACAATTTGAAGAGTGAGCGCGTCAGTGCGTGACACGATGTCTTGGATTGTAGGTGGGGGGAAGTAATGACTAGGGGGAGGTATTAACGTGATGCCCGCATCAGCGCAACGTGTGTCATCGGTCAAAGGGTCACAAACTGGGGTTAGGTTCATTTCCATTTGATGCCAGATTAAATGCAGCCTTCTTATTGGTTAAACAACGATAACGCCGCAATGCATGCATTCATTTGAAACCTTGACAAAATTTCGGTCAGTAAAATAAGAGCCGCGAAACCGCATAAAAATTATTAGCAGTTTTGTGCAATTGAAAGCACAATTAAAAATCGGAGTCACAAATGTGGGATACAGAACAGCCTATCCAAGAACCTGAGATAAGAGTATCCCAAAGTCGTTTGCAGATCAAAGCACGTGCCTGTTCAAAGCATTATTTAAAAGTTTGTTAAGTTAATGCAAAGAATGTTAACCAAGTAGAACAAGGAGACAGTTCAGATAAGAAGAAGAAGAAGCGATCACTGTTCCGCTGGGTACTTAGCCAGACAGCTTATGTTTGCAATAGAGAAGACAAATCCGGTTGCTCCTCGCTGCCGTAGTAGGCACAGATACCTTAAAAAAGCTTGGAAAAATGGCCAACCACCAAAACATGCTATTGACCATGGATTACGCAGCATTGTCGATTTTTGACACGTTTAAAAAATGCGGACTGCTCTTCACAATTTCCTCTCGCGTCCGAAGACGGCTTTGTGTGCAAGCGTCGAAAATTTACAGTAAAGTTAGTTCCGGTTTCTTAAAGAATATTTTCTGTCAAAA